GAATGATGGTAGTTGCAAATGCCAGGGATAATCGGATTCCAATAAGTTGAGAAAATAGGATTACAAGTTAGGAAGATAAGGTTCAGAGAAGTGATCAGGGTTTCAAATTTTTAAACGGTGAGAGAAGATGGGGTTTAGGGTCGATTAAGAGAGAGGAGTTCAAAGATGGGGTTTAGGTTCAGAGCAGTGTTTAGATAAAGAGAGAGAAGTTCAAAGACGCAGAGAGAGAATGAAGAGGTGGTGATTAAGATTTCAGAGATGAACAGTATTTGGAGATAAAGATGGGGTTTAGGGTGAAGAAGAGAGAACATTTTCTGAAATTTAGTTTGAAATTTTTTTGGAAGCTAACAGTGGGGTTTAACACTCCTGCATTAGTTTCCCACACATGCCAAAATGTTTTGCATGTGTATGGACAGGTGTTATCTTCTCATGCGATGATCAGCAAATCTGGACTCCATCTTGAGTGGGTTCAATTTGGTCTTCAATGTGCCAAGCGTAGCCTCAAACTTTCAAATTAATATATGGGCTGGTCTTCGGTCAGGCTCAGGCTTTGGGGCCATGGTCTAGTGGGCTTTCATCAACCCAAGCATAAAAGTTAATTTAACAAATCCAAATGGACCAGGCTCGGGCAGTCAAATCCTGTATTGCTCTCCAAAAATTGTAAGGAGATATATCATCCATGAATGAATTTAGATATGTATGAAGTGTTCATAAATTATAACATAGGATTTGAATTGTTGGTTCAGTCAATTTGCAATTAGCCAACACGAGTGAAAAACTGAAAACAAAGACTCCCATTGAAAACATTGTATCCCTTGTAGAGTAGGTAGATAAACAAAGACTCTCACTTTTTTTTTTAATTAAACAATATTCAACCATTAGAGAGATTTTCTTTATTATTGGTGGTTATTGATTAGAGAAAAAAGACAAGCTTTGGGATAGAGGTTTTAAAAAAGAGGGGTTGTTGACTAAAGAAATAAGAATGAAATCACATCTTTGGTTTAATGCCTTATGAAACGACATTTCCCGTGATTCATGATTCATCATCCATGAACATTACTGTGGGGACGGTGTCCCATTGTCCATGATCAATTAATTGATCATGTCTAATCTAATTTGTTTGCACTATTACAACTACATACAAGTGATACAACAATTAATTAAATTTTAATACAGAATCATTTGCTATTACATTTTTCAGGGATTAACTCTATTTTTTTTTTAATTTTTTTCTGTAGATTCTGCTGGACATTAATTTGTAATTGGGTTCAATTAAATTTGGATATGCTAATAGCTCTTTGTCGTGAATCATTTGGATTTGCCATTTATAATCTTTTTGTTGTTGTTGTTGTTAAAGTTAAAGTTAAAGAATGGATGCATAAAATAAAGTATTTACGCCCAATTCAACTGTGCACAAATTACAGAAACCAATGTATAATACAATATAAAAAGGAAAAAGTTGGTACTTAGGCACTTGGCAGTGGGATAATTTTGTCTAGAAAGGATGATGGGGTTGAACTTTTCCAGTCCTTGTATTGTAATCTACGCTCCCCAACTGTAACTACCCTCATCATCATCATCATCCCAGCTGGCAAATGGCAATGCCACTCAGGATTGGATTGGATCACTTACCACCGCCCTATTTGCTTTTTAAAGCGAGAATTCTTGAATCCAAAGAAAAGAAGAGACAGAAAAGAGCAGGGAGCTACTCACCTGTCTTACAAAACTACAACCTCAAAGCCCTTTCCTTGTCTTTGCTAAAGTTGCAGAAAGTAAAAMCATGCTTATCTGATTCTTTTCTTGTGTCTTTCCTTTCCAACAAGCAAACCCTTTTCCTCTACTACCTTAGAATAAAAACATATAAAAGTAGCCAAAAGACTACTAAGGTCTGAAGCAGCAGAGATTATCCATAATCCATTCATGTGCTAGTCTACTATATTGTTAGTGCCATATATAATTAATTCCAAATTCCAACTACTTCTTATATAATGACAGAATTGAACACGCCATCAATCCCATAAGTAAATTGGGATGATTAAAAAAACATAATTTATTGATGTCCATTACCCCAACATTCAGAGACAAACATATTAACCCCAGAACCTGAAACCCTGTTGTTGTTGTTCTTGAGGTATCATGTTACACAGAACCTGGTGAAATGATGTTCAGTGGCTGGCAAATGCAACTTCTTTTTTCGTATTGAGCTTTGGAAGTTTGTTGCTTGGAGAGTTGGAGGTTGGAACTAAGCCCCACACCCTCATCATTGTACAGAAGACTAAAGTGAGAAAACCGCGTTGTCAGATATAAAATTTCCTCATAGTTTTACCATTGGATCTGTAGACTCTCTTTTTTGCGAGATATGAAATCAGATGGCCCAGACTTAATTAATTTGGCATGTGAGAAAACATAATTTACAATTTTCCTTTTGGTATCATCAATCCAAGTGGGATTTAGGAAGAAGATTCAAAAGGCTCACACAATACACAGTTTCACATTTTTATTTGAAGGAAAAATTTCGAACTTTTAACTTTGGTTAGTGTAAAGTTAGTCTCTACCGTTAATCAAAAATTCTTAAGTTGGTCTCTACCGTCAATGAATTGTCAATTAACTATTGAAAATGTTAAAATTATCCTTCAAAAGAAGATACTGTTCATTATCTTCTACCTTGAGATTGGACCGGTTATCTTCAAATAAAAAGAGATAGAGGGAAACAATAACCGAAAGCAAAGAAATAATTAGACAAGAATGTTTTTAAGATATAAAGGTAGAAGACAATGACTTCATTAGTCTAGAATCTCAAACACCTCAACCAGTTCAATCTCAAGTAGAAAAAACAATGAACAGTYTTCTTTTGAAGGGTAGTTTGGACATTTTCAACAGTTAACCGATGATTGGTTAACAGCAAGGACTAACTTGACACTTTTTGAAAGTTTAAGTACTATAGTGATACATATGAAAGTTTAGGTACTAACTAGGGGTGTTAATTGGACTGGATTTGGTCCAATCCTATCCTGTCCAATGTGAATCCATTATAAATGGACCAGGTCTAATCTAGTCCAATGAATATATTAGACCATTTTGGACCGGTCCAATTCAATGTCTGGACCATCCAATCTATTCAAATTCGTTTTGATTTAGATTGGTTTCTGATGAGGGCAGATTTGGCCCTCCAGTGAAGTTGCGACACGTGGACCTCGTGACAACTAGGCAAGCCCCCAGGCAACAACTTACCAAGTTGGTCCCCCCCCGGGCACCGGTCTGGCTGGCCTGGCGCGGCCTGTGCGCGACCTGGCGCGACCTGCGTGA